TTGGTTCTCTCAGAACCCGCACTCCTGAAGTGACGCAACATCATGAGAGAGAGAGAGAGAGAGAGAGGTTGAATGGCAAAATTGAAATATGGGTCAAATTGCGGCCGCAATCTTTTTCGCAGTTGGAATGATTTTTTAAAATTCATGTAGCGTTTGTCCTGGAAAGATCACAACAAAATTTACGAGTACTCCAATTTTCAGGTTTTTTCACGCATTCTTCTGAGCGCGAAAACTCACTGAATTTGTAGTACTTTTTTAGTTGGCCCAGGCATGGCTGAGGGGCAAAAATAAAAAATGTGGTGAATCGGCGCGACAATTATTTCGCAGTCTACATGATTTTTTGTAAATGTTCTATTATTATTTATGGAAAGAACACGACCTCATCTATGGATTCTCAAAATTTCAAATTTTTGTGCATGTTCGTTTGAGCACAGAAAATCGCCGAAGTTGCCTCTTGCAAAACGCCTGTTTCGTTGTGCCTGACCTCCCTGTTTTGAGAAGACGGGCTCAACGCCTGGGCCTGAGGGCCCTTTTGCAGATCACATGCCCTCACTTCTTTTTGGGGTCGGCTTCTACCCGAGGACCGGTCCAATGCCCTCACTTCTTTTTGGGGTCCATTTCCACCCGAGGACTGGTCCTTCGTTTTTCCAAAAGTCCCGGTTCTACCAGAGCTAGCTGTAGGTAGTCCGCAATTTCGCCAAGGACCGGTCCCCCAAATTTTTTTGCCCCTGAAAAACCCACTTGCGTCCTGGTCCCCCGCCGCCAAAAATGCGACACCTTGACACAGACGCCGAAGCCCACTATACCGCAGCCTACGAATACCGCAGCCTAAGGGCTGCGAACATGGGAGATGGGTACGACGCGCCAAAAAAAAAATACAAAGGCAACGACGAAGCCTACGATGGAACATCCAGCCGTGAGCTGGCGCGTTGGGTACCGGCAGTCAGGGGGGGCCTAGCGGCATACCGTCGTCAAAGTTTGGCGGGCTGTTTTCGCGGGAAGTTATCCCACGTGGCGAAGCGCCGGGGGCTTTTACTCCGAGCTTACTGGATTGCCCCCCGACTTATCAGCGAATTTTCGTTGCAAATAAACGACAGACCACTGACACTGATGGCTCGGGGAACCGAGCGTACCGCGGAAGAACAAGAACATTGCTGCCGGAAGGTACATGCCACCCTATTGTTGTGAGCTTAAGCCGCCACTCTAATGTGAGCTTATAATTAATTGGTAGCAAGAGTAATTAATCAAATCAACTATATCGGGGAAAGGCGGGGCACATTGTGGGCTGGTCGAGCGCAATCGACCCACGCGTTGTCGCCTACCCCGATCCGTGCTCGGCACTCCTTCCTCCCCTCATCCCGCGAGAAACGGTGGAGTGGTTTATCTCTTCGGACTTGCTTTGGGCACCGGGGAGTTGATGGACGTGGGAGAGTAGAGTGTAGCCTAAGGGCCATAGCCATAGGATCAGCTCAAATCATCAGCGATGTACATAGATTGACGTCGTTTTCGACTGCGAGCCAAGAGGACGGTGATGTAGGTTGCAGCAGGAAGAAGAAAAGAAAGCATGAGGACGATGTGTAGGTGTGGCAGGCCTTTGGTCGAATTGTAGCGGTATTCCCAGGGGAGTACGCACGCTAAAACGGCTGGGGGCAAGCAGTTCTGGAAATCGCCACTTGTGTGAACCCTCCTGCGCAGSRGCTCTGGGRGSGGAATTGTAGCGGTATCCCCAGGGGAGTTCGCACGCCAAAACTGCTGGGGAAAGGTGGATTGAGGGAGAGAGGGGAGGGGGGGGGGRGGAGGGGGAGGAGAGGATGGGAGGAAGAGGGGTAGGGAATTAATTATCAGAAGGCAGTGGAAACGAAACTGAACCAGAATGATCGGCGACAGCTCGAATCAGATGGCAATATAATATAATATAAGTTAATACCGAATTTTCTAAATAAAGGCTGGAGGATACCGATACACCTATTCCAGTTTTTTTTTTTTTTTTTTTTTTTTTTAAGTCTGTTTGAAGTCGAGATGATAGAAGCTGTAGGATTCGAATGGAAATTGATCTGTTTGGATGGAGGGGTGTTATTAAGGGGTGTTACGTGGAGTATATCAAGTCCTCTCGTTTTGAATTGGTTTATTTACGATCAGTCAGATACCTGATGGGGGATAACGACATGGTTTGCCCGGTAATCAAATTACTAGTAATTAATCAACCAATAGCAGAGGAGGATAGCAGCTTGTCGGCTTTTGAGCGTCATCGACACTCTTTATGAAATCGCTTGGCCCTTCAGCCTTGTTCTTTGTCGTTTGTCTGGGTTGCTGATTCATCGACTAGGAGGAGGAGGAGGAGGAGGGGAGTTCCCCTCCACGTACGAGAAACAAGGCAGCAGCCACGTGGCCAAGTGCCAGCCCGACGGATTCCAAAACCCGCACCAGAGTCGAGCGCGATCATCTCTCTCTTCTGAGTCCATCTTTGTATTGCACTCCGTCCCGATCATTGCATCATCTTGGACCTTACTTGCTGTTAAGTTGGCCCCCCCCGTTTTTGATGACAACGTCGTCGTTGCTGTGTTTGTCGGTGTTGGACGCGTCGAGATCGCCGTCGTGTCCAATCCCGATTGGCTCGCTCCTGCCGCCGCGTGTGGCTCGTCATCGGAGTCATCCTCGTCGTTATCATCATCAACGGTGTCGTCGTCGCCGTCGTCGTTAGGTCATCATCGCCGTCAGTTGGTGGAGCACTACAGAAGAAGCGTCAAAGCAAACAAGCATGTCATATTCGCTCTGCTGATGCAGGAGTGCAGGCCTTACCGTGATGCCATATGGGCGTGCAGGGATGAGCATTTGCCACGTGCCAGGAAGGAAGCCCCTCACGCTGTTAGTTGGGGCATCGAGAGGGTGAGCGGAAGGGCTTGTGATCTGCTCTCCAACGTGAACCGCTCCGTTCCAACTCACGCACGCATACACGTGCGCAATCCC